CGCTCCTGCTCCTCTGATGCTGCTTGGCCTGCTGTGTTCATCCAGCTCTACACCTTGTTATCTCTTCATTCCTGTTATTTTGGTTGTGATAATTATGCCATGAATCAATGTTAAGATGTCTGGAAGTCGTGAACACATAAAGGAGAAGGACGGTACACACAAGGTAGTGTCAGCATTAGCACAAACCCGTTGAGTAGGTTCCACTGTCATAATCAAAATAAACTTTTAATAAAAGGTGCCTGTGCTGTACGTGTTTCCGGAGGAGGGACTTGATCACATAAAGATACCGAATAACCGCGATGTACCGAGTATTATCTGTCACACAAGCTTTAACTATTACAAATACCCACACTCAACTGAAGAAGCATTTTCTGATTCTTTCCTGGTGAGAGGTATTCGCCTTCCCCACGGGTAGGGGGCGATCTCCTGACAGCGCAGGACAACACTGACGTGACTGTGCACAGAATGATGGGATACTGGAGGTCCCGTTTGTCCAAGGCATGGTGTTACGGAAAGGTGAGGGAGTAATGAATGCGTCGCTATCGCAACCAAGCGCTCTTCATCTCCCTAAATAATTTTACCATAATAAGATTGAGTTTATAATTTGGGATTTGTAGGATACTTTAAATTGTTTTAATTTTACGGAGATCAACTTTGCTTATTAAGGCACTTCAAGGTTTTGTACAAATGTGAACGCGGGGATTTAGAGTAATTTTTTAAAAATAGAGTTGTTTTAAAACAGAAGACTGTGTGTTTTCCCTTACCGATATCCCAATATGTCCGAGGAGACGATTACTCTTGCTAGCTTTAGTGCCATCGGCATCAGCAATCCTGTAGCATCTGCAGTGTGAGAACTGCAATAATGAGTTTCATCATCCATTGAAAGCTGAAAGAGACGATATTTCCAAACTAAGATAACAAGGTGTCGAGCTGGATGAACACAGCAGGCCAAGCAGCATCAGAGGTGCAGGAAAGCTAACCTTTCGGGCCTAGACCCTTCTTCAGAAATGGGGGAGGGGAAGGGGGTTCTGAAATAAATAGGGAGAGAGGGGGAGGCGGTTGGAAGATGGATAAAGGAGAAGATAGGTGGAGAGGGGTTGCAGTGGGAGAGAGATCCACTACTATCTCTGAAACAATTTCAACCCCACTGCGAAGCCTCTCGTCAGGATGCCTACCTTGAAGAAGTTACCCTCCTCCCTCCGGAAAGACCTCAGTGGATCTCTCTCCCACTGCAACTCCTCTCCACCTATCTTCTCCTTTATCTATCTTCTATCCGCTTCCCCCTCTCTCCCTATTTATTTCAGAACCCCCTTCCCCTCCCCCATTTCTGAAGAAGGGTCTAGGCCCGAAATGTCAGCTTTCCTGCACCTCTGATGCTGCTTGGCCTGCTGTGTTCATCCAGCTCTACACCTTGTTATCTCAGATTCTCAAGCATCTGCAATTCCTATATTTCCAAACTGTTTACTCTTAAAATAGTGTTCCAGGGATAACAATTTAGAATGGGAGTCCTGATTAATATTTTTTCATTTTCAAATAGCCAAGCAGATTGAGTGTGTCAAATTTAATTTACAGTAGCTGAGTCAGTACGGCATTTCGTCTCAAACCTTTTTCCTCCAATGACCCTGTTTCAACACTTGAGAATTGTTCTGACTTCTCTGTGACAACTTAGAGGGGTGGGAAGGGAGAAGAGAAAACCTCACTTGTAATTGTGATTAATTGATTTATGAAAGTTACACCAACAGCATAGGGTTCAATTCACGCACCGGCTGAAGTTCCCATGAAGAACTCTCCTTCCCAATCTCTCCCTCGCCTGAGACATGGTGACCCTCAGGGTAAATCACCACTAGTCGTTTCTCTCTAATGAGAGAACGGCCCTGTGGTCTGGTTGACTATGGCGACTTTACCTTGATATGCCTTAGTAAATATTTTTGGAAATGGCAAAGGAGACAAAATTGGCAGAGCAGAGCATAGAAAGCTTTCTAATCCAGAATCCTTTTAGTAAGTTTCCAAAATAAAGTGCTGTCTGGTTGAGGTCCTGTTTCATGAACAAAGAAAACTAACTTTGATGGTATGAGGTATGCATTGGCTTGAATAGGCTTGCCAAGGATACTTAAGGGGTTGATGGTGGATAGACAATGGCAGGCATTTAAAGAATGCATCGATGAATTTCAACAAGTTTGTATCCCTGTCTGGAGTAAAACAGGGAAGGTGGCTCAACCATGGCTAACGAGGAAAGTCAGGGATAGTGTTAAAACCAAAAAGGAGGCATATAGGCAAATAAATTGACCGGAAAAAGCAACAAACCGGAGTACTGGGAGAGATTTAAAATTCAGCAGAGGAGGACAAAGTGTTTAATTTGGAAAGGGAAAATAAAATATGAGAGTAAGCTTGTGGAAAACATAAAAACTGACTGCAAAAGCTTCTGTAGATATGTGAAGAGAAAGACTGGCCAAGACAAATGTAGGTCCCTTGGAGTTAGATTCAGGTGAGTTCATAAGGGACAACAAAGAGATGGCAGACCAGTTGAACAAATACTTTGGATCTGTCTTCACTAAGAAGGACACAAATAAACTTCAGAAAATACTAGGGGACAGAGGGTCAATCATGAAGGAGGAACTGAAGGAAATCCTTATTAGTCAGGAAATGGTATGAGGGAAATTGATGGGATTAAAACCCAATAAGTCCCCAGATCCTGATGCTGTGCATCACAAAATACTTAAGGAAATGAGCCTAGAAATAACAGATGCATTGGTGATCATTTTCCAGCATTCTGTAGACTCTCGAAGAGTTCCAATGGACTGGAGGGTAGCTAATGTAACCCCATTCTTTAAAAAAGGAGGGAGCGAGAAAATGGGGAATTATAGGCCAGTTAGCCTGACATCGGTGGTGGGGAAAGTGCTGGAGTCAGTCATTGAGGATGTAATAACTGAGCATTTGAAAAGCAGTGACAGAATCAGCATGAATTCACTAAAGGGAAATCATGCTTGACAAATCTGGAATTTTTTGAAGATGTGACCAGTTGCATGGACAAGGTGAATCAGTAGATGTTGTGTATCTGGACTTTCAAAAGGCTTTTGACAAGGTTCCATAGAAGAGATTAGGAAGGAAAATTAAAGCTTATGGTATCAGGGGTAATATATTGATATGGATAGAGAACTGGTGGGCAGACAAGAAGCAGAGAATTGGAATACATGGGTCCTTTTCAAGACTAGCAGGCAATGACGAGTGGGGTACTGCAGGTTGAGTGCTGGGTCCTCAGCTGTTCACAATATATATTAATAATTTGGACGAAGGAATTGAATACAATATCTCCAAATTTGCAGATGACACTAAGCTGCGTGGCAGTATGTGTGCTGTGAGGCGGATGCAAAGAGGTTGCAGGGTGACTTGGACAAACTGGTTGAGTGGGCAAGTACTTGGCAAATGCAGTATAATGTGGATAAATGTGAGGTTATCCATTTTAGTTGCAAAAACAGGAAGGCAGATTATTTTCTGAATGGTGGCAGTTAAGGAAAAGGTGAGGCACAACGAGACCTGGCTGTCATGGTGGAACAGCCGCTGAAGGTTGGCATGCAGGTGCAGCAGGCAGTGAGGAAAGCTAATGGCATGCTGGCCTTCACAGAGAGGATTTGAGTATTGGAGTAAGGATGTCTTGCTGCAGTTATACAGGGTCTTGGTGACGCCACACCTTGAGTATTGTGTGCAGTTTTAGTCTCCTAGCCTGGGGAAGGACATTTTTGGACTTGAGGGAGTCCAGCAAAGGTGCACTAACTTGATTGCTGGGATGGCAGGACTGACAGATGAGGAAAGACTGGATCGACGGGGCTTGTATTCGCTGGAATTTAGAAGAATGAGGTGGGATGTCATAGAAACATATAAAATCCTGATGGGACTGGACAGATTAGATGCAGGAAGTATGTTCCTGATGATGGGGATGTCCAGGACTACAGGTCATGGTTTAAGAATAAGGGGTAGGTCATTCCGGACTTAGATGAGGAAAATTTCTTCACTCGAAGTTGTAAACCTGTTGAATTCTCTCCCACAGGAAGCTGTTGGGACCAGTTCAATAGATATATTCAAGAGGGAGCTGGATGTGGCCCTTGTGGCTAAAGGGATCAAGGGGTATGGAGAAGGGTGGAAATGGGATACTGAGATTGCATGATCAGCTATGATCATATTGAATGTTGGTGCAGGCTCAAAGAGCTGAGTGGCCTTCTCCTGCACCTACGAGGCAAGGTGTTGAAGGATGGTATACAGATTCACGTACGAGTACCTGAAACCCTCTTTCCTATGTGTTCCTCACGATCATTGCAATACAAAGTAAGTTACAAACAGACATGAATCCTTTCCTAATGTGCAAAAAGGTAAATCCAGAGATATTTGTAGCTTGTCAATTAGAGAAACCTAGGAGTAAGTTGCCGGAGCAGTGGCTTGCATGAGGAAAATATTTTTTTGAAGAAGCTCAAGAAAAGTTCAAGAGTCATTATAATATTCATACTAGATGGACTTGAATTAAATAAAAAAGCATCACATGTGGAGCTGAACAACACTAGTTGTCTACGGTTATAAGTTTGCTATCGGTGCTGGTACTGAACGATTTGAGATGATAAATTTAAAAAGTGTGAAGTGCATTGGATAAAGTTTATTGGCAACTATTTCTTTTTCATTTAGTACTAAATTGATATCAAATGAAATCTTTGGTACTAATTGATATCAAATGTAATCTTTACACATTTTCTTTTTCCTTACAGTGAAATCTGCTGCTGTTGTATCCTTTGGAATAATATATGCCATGAGGAATTGTTATCTTGTAGTCCAAAACATTTCTCAAAACCAGGAATTGATATACAAAATATATTCTACAATTTGCAAAGATCAGTTAACATTTAGGATTAGTAGGGGCGATTGAAGAATCTACTGCTGACAGAGTTAAAAAGAAATTCTTTGGAAGGAATACATTCTGTCTTTTGGTCTTCCACTTTGTCTTTCTGCAATTCCATGATTTCACACATCTTTAAGTAGTATTTTTTTCTCAGTTATCGTTCCTTTCTTGCTAAATTTTGCAGTCTTTATTCATCCCTGGGATAATTTAATTTTTGTTCATTAATGGCGTTGCTGGCTAGGTGGCATTTATTGCCTATCCTTAATTGCCCAGAGGCAGTTGAGAGTCAACCACATTGCTGTGGGCCTGGAATCACATGTAGGCCAGACCAGATAAGGATGGCAGTTTCCTTCCCTAAAAGGACATTAGTGAACCAGAGGGGTTTTTCCTGACAATTGACAATAGTCATCATTGGATTCTTAATTCCAGATATTTTATGGAATTCAAATTCCACCATCTGCTGTGGTGGGATTTGAACCTGGGTCCCCAGAACATTATCTGAGTCTCTGGATTAACAGTCTAGTGATAATACCACTAGGCCACCACCTCCTGGGATGTGAGCTTCCTTACCTTTTGGAGGAGGTTTAGTGGTATTGACATTAGTTTGAAACTCACCACAGCAGATGGTGAAATTTGAACTGAATTTTTAAAAATCTGCAATTAAAAGCTGCTTAATGGTGACCATGCAATTGTCAATTGTCGCAAAAGCCAAACTATATCACTGATGACCTTCAGAATAGGAAATCAGTCATCCTTACCTAGTTTGACCTACATATGACTCCAGACACACTGCAGTGTGGCACAGTGATTAGCAGTGCTGCGTCACAGTGGCAGGGACCCAGGTTTGATCCCAACCTTGGATCACTGTCTTTGTGGAGTTTGCACATTCTTCCTGTGAGTTTCCTCTAGGTGCTCCAGTTTCCTCCCCAAGTCCAAAGATGTGCAGGTTAGATGGATTGGCCATGCTAAATTGCCCTCTTAGTGTCCAGGGATGTGTAGACTAGGTGAATTAGCCGTGGTAAATGGGGGAATAGGAAGGGTCGGTGCAGACTCATTGGGCTGAATAGTCTCTGTCTGCACGTAAGGTTTCTATGATTCACTGTGGTTGACTCTTAACTGCCGCAGACAAATAGGAATGTGTAATAAATCCTGGCATTGCGACAATGTGCACATCCCATGAATGAGTTTTTTAAAAAAAGTGGCAAAGTTAGCATTTGTTGGACGTCTTAATTGTCTTTGAAAAGGTGATACTGAGCTGCTTTCATGAACTAACACAGTCTGTCTAGTGGAGATACACTCACAGTGCTGTTAGGGAAACGAGAGTTCCAAGATTTTGACCCAGTGACATTGATGGATAGTTTCAAGACAGGGTGTTGGCCTTCCCTTGCAACTGCTGCCTTTGTTCTTCTAGATGGCGCAGAGATTTTAGGTTGGAAGGTATTTTAGAAAGAGTCTTAGAAAATTACTGCACTGCATCTTGTCAACAGTATACGGCTGTCACTGTGCGCTGGTAGTGAGGGGGAGATGGGGTGATAGATCGGGTGTTTTAGGTGATAGATTGCATTTTGCTGAAACAAGCTGTTTTATCCTGGATGATGATAAACTTGTCGGAACTGCACCCATCCAGACTCCCAGAAAATAATCCGTCATGTTTCTCATGAGTGCCTTACAGATTGTGTACAGGCTTTCAGCAGTCAGGAGGTGAGTTAATCGCTGCAGAATTTCCAGCTTTGGAAATGTATTCATACTCATGTATTCACAGTACTCCTTTGTCGGGTCCAATTAGGTTTCTGTGCGACGGTGCTCAGGATATTGAATGTGGGGATTCAGCAATGCTAATTGGTCCCACAGTAACGCTAGTTGTCCAACACCTTGCTCCAAAAGTTTATTTTATTTGTGTAAACCTCAGTTCCCTGTTGGATTTTAAGGAGGCTTAACTTTTTACCAGTTCCCCATGTTATCTAACTATTTTGCTGCCTGACATTTGTTTTATTTTTGAGAATGGCCTTGGAGCCTTGGAATATTTATTAAAGGAGCCATGTAAATACAAAGTGTTGATCCCTTCTAACTTGTGACAACAGACTATTTGACTATGGAGAGTCAAACTGAATCTTGTCCTTAACTAATGCGCTTTGCAGCAGGGCCATTGTATTGAGAGTGGGAATAGTGGCTGATATTCTACACATTCCTCCCCCCGTCTCACAAACACACACCCCTAAAACAAAACAGGACAGCTAAGATTAATTGTAGCAGCAGGTCTGCCAACTCGGTTAATAAAGTCTAATTAACCACAGACGTAAGACTAAACCTCAACTTCCCTACTTTACGTGATATCCATAGTAGGGGATGTATTTGCCCACTAAACTATCACAGAAATGTTACAGTGCAGAAAGCAGCGCTTCGGCCCATTGTAACTTCGCTGGCTCGTCAAATGAGCATCATTACCTGGTGTCTAACTCCTGTTTTTCCCCCTGTACCCTTGCACATTATTTTTAATCCAAATAATCATCCAATGTCCTCTTGAATGCCTCAATTGAACCTGAATCCACCACAGTTCTGGTCAGTGTATTCCATACCTTAACTAGTCAGAGTGAAAAAAGATATTCCTCACTTCACCCTGTTTCTTTTTGGAGATCACTTTAAGTTTATGTCCTTCTTGTTCTTGTCCTTTTACAAGTGGGAACAGATTCTCCCCATCTACACTGTCAAGCCCCCTCATGATTTTGAAAACTTCTATCAGATATTAGCTAGTCACCTTTTGCAATTTTTAAACAAAAATCTAGTATTAAATGCAGATACTCCTTGATAGGTTGATTAAACAACCTTCTGCCTTGAATTTGTATTGAAATCCTATTGTAAGGAATGCAGAAATGAATCCTTAGCATTTTAGACTAAGCTACGGTATTAATATGAGATGTTGTTCCATTGTGATATTATTACAAGGATACAAGTTTAATATTTTTCAGTCATTGGTGGTTTTTGTGTTTTTGTATGAAAGGCTGCTATTGTGGTACTGAATAATTATAATTTTAGCAAGTTAGATTACTATGTTTTAACAGTTTTCTTAAAACTCTATTTTTGTATTATGTGCACATGAACAAGGCCAGCATTTATTGTCTCCCCTTTAGTTGCCATTGAGAAAGTGATAGTGTGCATTCCCTTTGGTGAAGATAGTCCCAGCAATGCTATTAGATAGCAGAGCTGCTGATTTTACCCAGAAACCTTGACAATCCAGTAAATTCACAACATTGACTGACAGTAAGATGGTGGCAAAGTTTAGGATGGAATCATGCCTTCACTTGACTTCTGAATTTTGCTGTTTGGTGATGAAAATTCAGCAGACATCCAAACAAATCAATAATTGAACTCAATATTGGTTGAGACCTTTTATGTTTTGTCAAATTGTAAAGCATTTTCTGCACTCACACTTCTGATTTCAATGCACACAATATGCAGCAGAATTTTTCCCAGGAATATTCACTGGAATATGATTTTAGTTCAATCATAAGTCTGGAATTTGGGGAATTTGGGGAAAATAGTGTTCTGATTTAAAGATTAGACCTTAGTTATTCAATTTATCTATTTGGAATTTCCAGATGCCAATCAGAAAATGGGTGAGAACTTGAGATACAGACAATCTTAGAGGATCAAATATCATGATGTTCATAGTTTTCATTGCAGCAGTAGTCCTTAACTAGATTGCAACAGCTTTCCTCCATCCCTCTACAGATAGCTTTCTACTTCAATGTGTTTTATTATTCTTTTTATTTTCTTGCCACGTTGCTAATGATTATCTACAAAAGTAAGTTTTACACTAGTAACTGTTTGTTACAACTATTTATAATAATGACTTTTAAAAAATGAAGTCCAGGAATTATTTTCTCTTCATGTTTCAGGTCAGGTATTCAGTTTTCCGGATGGTTACCTGGCGGTTGATCTGATTCTTCTGATTCTCATGTTAATTCTGGAAGTGATAAGGCTATACTTTGGTAAGATGTTGTGTTAAATTATATTGTATCACCGTGTTTGATCCTCTGTGGTGTTACTGCGGGTAGCTTGGAATTAAAGCTTGGTAATAATTTTTGTTGGAGCTTTGTTTTGTTTAATAGATCAATTATCCATATATTGAATTAAGCAGCAAAATACCTTCAGAAATTTACCCGGATTTTAACGCAAAACTATAGTTTAGCACAAACATGAGTTTCCATCTCTCCCTTCTGGACCCTTTCCCTGTCCAAAAGCCAACCCTCCACTGGGGAAGAAACCAGCTTTCTTTTTTTACATTACGAAACCCACCACCAAAATTGAGAAATACTTTAACTGACAGAGATTATAAATGCTGCCCCCCACAGCAGTGCAACAATAAGAACAATCAAAAAGGGAAAATAAGGGAGGTAGTTGATTCAAAGGCAGAGTGAGGTAGCTGATTCGGAGACTAGGATGCTGAATCTTAATAAAGATATGAGGTGTGAGTTGGCCTTGATAGATTGAGAAGAGTTACTTGAAGGGATGACAGTGGACAGGCAATGGCAAACATTCAAGGAACGGATGGGGGACTTGCAACACCTGTTTATTCCTGTCTGGCACAAAAGCAACATGGATAAAAGGGCCAATCCATGGCTTACAAAGGAAATTTTAGGTATAGTATCCGATCCAAGGAAGAAGCATACAGATTGGCTAAGAAAAATAATATGTCTGACGATTGGGAGCAGTTTAGAATTCAGCAAAGAAGGACCAAGAGATTGATTAAGAAGGGGAAAATACAGTATGAAAGTAAGTTTGCAGGGAAGATAAAGACTGACACTAAGAGTTTCTATAAGGTACGTGAAGAGAAAGAGATTGGTGAAGACACATGTAAGTTCCCTACAGACAGAAACAGGGGAATGTATAATAGGGACAAAGAAATGGCTGAGCAACTGAATATATACTTTGGTTCTGTCTTCACAAAAGAGGACACAAATCAGATACCAGAAATGTTGGAGAATGCAAGATTTAGTGAGAGGGAAGAATTGAGTGCAATTATTATTAGTAGAGAAATGGTGCTGGGGAAATTCATGGGATTGAAGGTGGATAAATCCCCAGGCCTAATAATCTCCATCCCAGAGTACTTAAGGAAGTGGCTGTAGAAATTGTGGATGCATTAGTGGTCATCTTCCAGGATTCTATAGACTCTGGAACAGTCCCTGCAGAGTAGAGGGTAGCTAATGTCACTCCATATTCAAAATGGGAGGTAGAGAGAAAACAGGGGATTATAGACCAGTAAGCCTAACATCGGTAGTGTGGAAAATTCTCAAATCCATTATCAAGGACTTTGTAGCAGAGCATTTAGAAAGCAGTGGCAGGATCAGAAAGGCAGCATGGATTTATGAAGGCTTGTCAAATCTGTTGGAATTCTATGAAGATGTAACTAGTAAAGTTGACAAAGGGAAGCCAGTTGATGTGGTATATTTGGACTTTCAGAAAGTGTTTGCCAAAGTCCCGCATAAGAGATTATTGTGTAAAATTAAAGCACATGGGATTGGGGAAAGTTTATTGAGATGGATAGAAAACTGGTGGCCAGAGAGGAAACAAAGAGTAGGAATTAATGGCAGGCAGTGATGAGTGGGGTGCCACAGGGATTGGTGCTGCGACTTTAGCTATTCACAATATATATTAATGATTTGGATCAGGGAACAAAATGTAACATCTCAAAGTTTGCAGATAATACCAAGTTGGGCAGGAGGGTGAACTGTGATGAGGATGTAGAGATCCTTCAGCATGATCTGGACACTTTGGGTGAGTGGGCAAATCAATGGCAGTATAATTTGGTTATTCACGTTGGAAGCAAAAACAAGAAAGCAGATTCCTACCTGAATGGCTATAATTTGGGAGAGGCAAGTGTGCAACGGGACCTGGGCATCCTAGTGCACCAGTTGCTGAAGGTAAGCATGCAGGTGCAGCAGGCAGTAAAGAAGGCAAATGGTATGTTGGCCTTCATTGCGAGACGTTTCGAAGACAGGAGCAGGAATGTTTTGTTGCAGTTATACAGGACCCTGGTGAGGCCACACTTAGAATGTTATATGCAGTTTTGGTCTCCTTTTCTGAGGAAGGATGCTCTTGCTCCCGAGGGAGTGCAGCGATGGTTTACCGGCTGATTCCAGGGATGGCGGGACTGGCATATGAGGAAAGATTGACTAGGTTAGGATTGTTTTCGCTGGAGTTCAGATGAATGAGGGGGGATCTCAGAGACTTAGAAAATTCTATCAGGTCTAGACAGGGTGGATGCGGGGAGGATGTTCCTAATGGTGGGTGTGTCCAGAACCAGGGGTCACAGTCTGAGGATTCGGGGTAGACCATTTAGGACTGAGATGAGGAGACATTTCTGCACCCAGAGAATGGTGAGGCTGTGGAATTCATTACCACAGGAAGTATTTGATGCCAAAACATTTAATGTATTCAAGAGGCGGCTAGATATAGCACTTGGAGCGAATGGGATCAAAGGTTATGGGGAGAAAGCAGGATTAGGCTACTGAGTTGGATGCTCAGCCATGATTGGGATGAATAGTGGAGCAAGCTCAAAGGGCCAAATGACCTCCAGTTGCTCCTATCTTCTATGTTCCTATATGAGAAGAATCCAACTCTTTTTGAATAATCTTCCAACACCAAGTTATAGCCCAGCAGATTTAATTGAAAACACAAGCTTTCAGAGCCTCACTCCTTCTTCAATCATACAATCCCTACAGTGTGGAAACAGGCCCTTCGGCCCAACAAGTGCACATCGACCCTCGGAGCATCCCTCCCAGACCCACCCCCCTAATCTACAGACCCCGAACACTACGGCCAATTTAGTATAGCCAATCCACCTAACCTGCACATCTTTGGACTGTGGGAGGAAACCGGAGTACCTGGAGGAAACCCACACAGACAGTCGCCCGAGGATGGAATTGAACCCAGGTCCCTGGCACTGTGAGGCAGCAGTGCTAACCATTGAGCCACCGTGCCACCCTGAGGAATGTTAGCACCTGAGAAAGGAGTGAGGTTCAGAAAACTTGAGTTTTCAAATAAACCTGTTGGACTATAACCTGGAGTTGTGTGATTTCTGACCTTGTCCAACCCAGTCCAACACCGGCACCTCCACATCTTGAATAGTCTTGTTCAGACATGTTCTCACTCAGCACAAGAATACTCAAATTGTAGATACTTTAAATCAACTTGTCATGACCCACTTTATGGTGAGACTTGAAACGAGACCATCTGGTCCAGAGGTAGGGAAACTACTATTGTGCCACAAGAGGCATTAACCTTCTCCAGAACTCTTTTTTTTAAAAAATCTCCAGAAGTGAATTCACGCGCAACTGAATTTTCCCACCACCAAATCACCTAGATTATTTTCTATTCAGTCTGCTCGGTGACATTATTACACACTTTTGAAGCGAGTGGGACTTGAATCCAGGCCTCCTGACTCACAGATAGACTCACTACCATTGCACCATTGCAAAATATGAACCAGATTTTTATTGAATTCAAGTTCCGCCATCTGTGAGGGGGTTGGAATGTGGGGCCCCAGAACATTACCTGGTCTCTGGATTAACAGTTCTGTGCTAGTACCACTAGGCCATTGCCTTCTCGCAAAAGCATGGACCAGTTTTTCTAATCAACCTGTTCAGAGATGTTAAATACATCACTGGAGCAGGTGGGACTTGAATATGGGCCTCCTGGTCCAGGGGTAGGGACACTACCACTGCCACAAGGGCCCTCAAAAGCATAAAACAAATTACGAAGTCACATGAGCATTACCTGCTCTCAATCAACTTTGTGACTGTTTAATTAGACTTTGAACCTACATTTCTAACACTGACAGTTTAACTTCACTGTTTTATAAGTCTCGTGCTTAGAAATTCTGTGGTCAGTTTGGAGCTAATTGTTATGGTTGAAGTTTCCCAAGATTGTTTCCATCCTTGTGGGAGAGTATAAGTTATATATAATTGAAAAACAGCAGGATGGAATTTTTTACACTTTTTTTCTTTTTAAAGGGGGAGTTGCTGAGGATTACATTTGAGCCAATCAGTTTGAAACTTGTTTGCATTATATGCCAACATAATTCCATTAATGTCCTTTAGGGAAGGAAACTGCCACCCTTACCTGGTCTGGATTACGTGACTCCAGACCTACAGTAATGTGGTTGACTCTTAACTGCCCTCTGGGCAATAAATGCTGCCTAGCCAGTGATGTCCTCATCCCGTGAATAAAAATTTCCAGCTTATTTCCAATAGATATGCACAAAGAATACTTAACATGAATGTTAGCATTTTTACTATTGCATTGTTCATTGCATATAAAAAATGATATACCATGCAACAGAGAGATTTGTCAGAACTCCAGTAACTGGTCAAGTCTGTATGTGTCTTTGTATTGCTCTTAGTGTTTTGTGGATCAAGTTCCATAATTTTCTCTAGTTTTCTGTGGAAACTTTAGATCAGTGGCTTTAATCATCTTTATATATTTATTAACTAAGTGCATAAATTTGATCTTTTCCCAGAAACAAACTTTATATCAGGTAGCCAGTTTTATAAAATGATAGTTAAATGCTTCACTGTTTTCCTAATCAAAAAAGTAGTGTATTTTAAAAAATAATTTGTAATTGAATTCTCAAGACATGGGAGTTTGCCTCGAGCAGGGTGTTTTACCATATGAAGCAATGCTTATGTTATTCCTTGTAACAAAAATCTAGGTGTAGATATCATGTAATTGAAGAATCCAGCAGAGCTATTATGTACAAACATTGCATTTCTCAGGCACTTGATGTTTGGGCTGTTAAACTATTAGATTACATCTGAGCAACATGCTTAAAATGATCCCAGGGTAAAATGTATTCTGAGGCCTTTATATCCTCACGTTACATTCCATGATACAGTGAGGGTTTCATGAGGATGTTATTAAAATTATACTTATCTTGAGACAAAACATAACAAAAAGTATACTTTAATATTTTGTGAAGCCACTGTACAAT